CTTAGTCAGATAGAGTAATATTATGGTCAGATACTACGCAAATAGAACAGACTATTTTTCTAGTGTTCCCCCATTTTCGAATGCATACATAAGCAATTGCACAAAAATCTCTATGAACAATTGGAAGTTTCGTTTCTTTTTAACTCTTTTAAGTAATATTCAACCTATATTGATAACGCACGCGTTTTGTCGGATTTATAGTACTATTGTGCCAGTGGGTTTTAGTTTTATTCAGACGAAAACTGCATGCCTCTTTTTCTTCTCGTTTTTTATTAAAAATCGTCTTTTTTCCCAAAACGCTGAACCTCTTTTTTTCTCTTTTTTTACAAAATGTTGGTGGGATGCCAGATTTCTAAAGCAATCGGATTTTTTTTGTTGAAACGAGCAATGTTCGAACTACAAATTTCGTACCAGACATATTTTTCCAGAACGAATTTCGGAAGGAGGAAAAGCTAAAAAAAACTAAACATCTCTAAAAGAGCTATTGCAACTTGTAAAATTGATATTTTTCAATTATTTTGGGCTACGTGGACTAAATTTTATCAAAAAATACACAAAAATATAGCTTATAAAAAGCTTTATCATGTCAGTTTTGTTAAAATTTTTTAGATTCGTTCAGAACTCTTTAATCAAAAAGATTTGAAACATGAATTTTTTTCTAGAACTATGAATTCCTAAAAGCATCAGCCATCATCTCTGGAAATCATAGATGAACTCAATTCCTTTTTGCATTAATTGTTCGAAATATAACAGATCATAGAAGCTTAGCATAAAAAGAAACATAATTCAAAACAGATTTTTTACTATTATAAAATGGCTAGATAGTGTATGAAAGACAAAATTATTCCACCTCTTTCACAAGAAGCAATATTTTGGTATAAAAAACAAGAGCAAATTTAAGTTCAAATTAGAGTCCGTCGGGTAGGAATCTGGAAAATTTAGATCCAATGAGCTCTAATCGTCCGAGAAATGTGTAGAGTGCGCTAGTCACCGAATACATAAAACTGAAAAAAAGTATCTTGTATCTTTTGGACAACTATCCAATTCCGATTAGAAAATGTCATTGAGAGTTTCTAAGTAAGGTTCGATTGAGTTCGAGTCCAAAAAATTTCAATCAACTGGGGCCAGACTCCAAAAATGTTTAGTGAATCGAGTCAGAGTCCAAAAATATTCGACCCGACGGGCTCTACTTCCAATGCATCATTAGGAAGGTCACTCTTTATGCTACAAAAAACATTATTAAACATGTTTTTTCTATACTCTTCTGATATAAAAGAAAAATAATACAAATAGAAGTAATGAAAGTTGCAAGAGTTTTTTTTAGAAGTGTTTGGTGTTCACGTTTGCCTCGTTTTCAAATTCCTTCTGGAAAAATATGTCTGCTACCAAAATTTATAGCTTGGACATTGTTCTTTCCAATAAAAACATATTTCATTACTTTAGAAGTCGGCAATATAATCCAATAGATTTTGATACTTTTTTCATTTTATTTGCAACGTCTATTATGAGTCAATGTAGTTCTTACCTAATAATCTTTATGTGCCTGTTTTAAAGTATCATGCAGATAAATAAACTTTCATAAACGAAAAAGAAGAAAATAAAATGACTTACAATGATCTAATTATTTCAAGCTATTAACACTGACTGTGGCTGAGCAATAATAAAACTTACGATATTTGAAGATAAGAACATGTCATTATGCTTCTACGACAGTGATCGAAAGATTATTATGTTCATCAATTTAGAAATGGTCAAATTATGTGTAATATGTATCGTGTTTTTTTTTCATAGTTTTTGTTCTGTTAAATATTGGTTTCTTCATGGATGCATCAGCAGAAAGTATATTTGAAAAAAACAAAAGATAATTAATTAAAATTAACATCTAAGACTCGAAACAGGTATCGTAAAAATGTACTCAAATAATGAATCTCGATGCGGTTTACGATAATATCGAATCAGATAATAATATAAATCTCCCACTGTTGCTCCTTGATTTTTCAAGTAGTCATAAACAACAGAGAATGATGTGATCAAGTTTTTATCACCATAGGCTGCATATATAAGTGGACGTCTAGCTTCGGAAGCAGCCATCAATTGAATAATTGCTAGAATTTTATGATTATAATGATATTTGAATTATTACAGTACAATATATACCTTTCAATTGTTTATCACCATTGAATGCTCCACAACCCCAATTTCCAGTAGCAATAGCAAACTCATAATCTGATCCCTTTCCTAGTGGACTAAAACTTGTGTAGGCTTTAAGTAATTCACGGTCAACAGCTTTCATTTGATATTGATCTGACGGATTACGAAAATAAATAGCATCCATAGCTACTACATGACACCATCTTCGACCCCAATTATCTCTAAAAAACAGATAACTTGATAGAAAGTTGTAAAGAAATAAGAAAACTTTATATTGAAATCTTGACGTTTCTTCTAGCAACAAATCAGACCAAGTGATTCAAGTTTTAGAAAAAAGAATACCCTTGTCTGTAAGCTACCTTGCGGCAGATTCAATAGCCCACTATCTTCCATACAACTCATACTAACTGTGGTTCTGAACAGAAGGTCTGCTTATCACAGAGTTCTTATGCTCAATTGCTTGAGCCCTTTATACACGCTAACTAATCATAAGAACAAGTGTATGTCACAACGTAGTCAGCATGCTATCGAACGGATAATCCGAGACAAATAGTAGTCAGTGACTTGTCCAGTGTCATTTTATAGCAGATGCTACTGAGGTTTGCACATAGTACCTTATGGATACGTATCGAACAACGTAGCCACTTCACCATGGCGGTTGCTAATTTAAGTTTTAATTAAAACCGAAACTGAGAGAAAAAAAAGCGGATTGTGTCATAGGTTTTATTGTTATAAATGAGAAAACATGTTAATTTAGATTTATTAAAAATGTCATACCTCGGTGTGTTATCTTCATAGTCTTCATCAAATTGAAATGACTTAGCATAACCTCTGTATGATGAATATCGTTCACATCCAATAAGAAAAATACATTCATTTGGTTCCATTCTTTCACAAACAAGTAAACTAACAAGCATTTCAGGACAAATCGTAAAACGAATTTCTTCTTGTACACAACCGCCACCTAAAACACCACCTCCCTTATTTTCATAAAAATGCATTAGTAATGAAAAAGAAACCACGTGGTTATTACACACTTACAATATATTTATTGGCAAAATCAACCTAAGAAAACAGAATCAATAAATATGTGAAAACAATCGTGATATTTACTTGTAATGCACCATTGATATCTTCGATTCTTTTGCCCGTTGTCAAATGTAAATCACAGAGACCTGTTTGTAAATCAGACCATTGTGGAAAACGATGTTTAGATAATGCAAAACGTTGAATAGTAATAACACCATTAGGCACTAAAGATAAGATGACAGAGATGTATTAGACAAAGTTATTATATACAAACTCTTTTGTGTAACACGTCGAAAATAATGTAAAATACATTTGAGTTTTTCTATTTTCTGTGGAGGTCCTTTTTGATATAATCTTCAAAGTTGATAATTATGCTATAAGCAATCAATTATTAAAATGTATAATTACTTACGTTTCAAAATTTGGATCTTGATAATTTTCATATTCTTTCTTTTGGATCTGATAAGAACGATATGGAAATAAACAGAAAAATGCACAAGCTAATAATGAAGCAACTTGTTGTTGTGACATTGTAATTGAACGATTTGTTCCAATACGTAATAGTGGTAATGGCTGAAAAATTACAAATTTATAACTTTTCATGAAAATATTATGTATTAGTATACTTGAGAGCAAATTGAATTAAGAGTCAATACAAGATCACACATTTTAGATAGAGTAATATACATGAAATAATTACGATCCTCATTAGAATAGATCTTCAAATAAGCATGAATTAATAAAATGAATATTATAATAATAAACAGCTAACTTTCATAATCAACTCCTCTAAACATTTCATATCAAAATCACGATCATTACAAGTTTCAATTGTGGCCTAGTATTATATTTTATTTATTCGAATAAAATTTAAAATCATTACTTTTAAATCTTTAAACTTAGCCACTTGATTATCGCATTTATCTTTGAGAGAACTCAACCATTGGCAAATGTTAGGCCATATAGGTTTTCCTTTACTCTTTATCAATAGAAAATAATATAAAATAATAAAAACAATATATGCTCACTGACAGATATATAGAATCGTGACCATGGCATACGAACATGATCATCATCCCATAGATCATTATCAGTATTTTCATTATTGTCAGGCTTCGGTTCTCTATTTGGTCGAGATGAATCATATTTCCACGGCTAAGCAACAATAAACAATTCGTTTTATAATAATAATATTTACTTTGATCGTAAAAGTGAAATTTTTATCATTAATCTCGTCCATAGATTTCATAATTGGTGGTTGCATCCATTTACTCGCAATTGTATCCAAAGGTATGCCCTGAAATATATTATATAGAAGAAGAAAACAAAGAATTGTATATTTTACTTTTTGTATTATTTCATCAGGTTTGTTTCCATTCATAAAAACATCGTACATCTCAGTGGCTATATGATTTAATTGAGTATATATTAAAAAATTATTTTTTAAATAAAACAATTTAATAAGAAAAACAAGAATGACACTTACCTTCTTCTTCTGTTGCTTCGAAATCTTTTTGTCTTCTTTGCCTTGAGGAATTTTCACCTATAGTCGTAGCTCGATGACTAGTAGTAGGTTTGTCGTTAGTTGGTGTAGCACTAGCAGCAGGCCGACTTGGAAAACATCCCATTGAGTGATAAAAAACTAACCTACTATTTTAGAGAATTCTATAAGAAAAACAAAGAATTCTGTGTTGATAAAGAAAAATGCAGTGAAAATGTTTCTTCCGAGCTTCATGTCGGCAGTTCCTTCTCTTTCTATGTTTTTCTTTGTGTAACATTGATGATGACTTACTTTATTTCTTTTTCGCTTTCTCAGTTCGTGTAAGCATGTTTTTTTTTCTTCGACGATAAGAAAAAAAAATTTTCATGACATAAATAAAACAAAGTAACCGATACATGAGGTTTTTGTTTTTACACAATCTGATAGATTTTCAATAATAAAAGTTTCAGATTTCTAAGAAATTATTGAAACATATAAACTCAATTTAAAAATTTTTTTTATTCAAAAGAGAAAAAACCACTCAGCAATACTATTAAAATAGTGAATCATATAGAAAAAAGTGAACTTTTGATCAAATGAAGAAAATCTATACACTATGATCAGTCATTTTTGTATTCAATTGAATAATAATAATATTCATCCTGAATCATAACAATTTTGTTTGACAAGATTCTTGACGTTCGGAAAGAGATAATAAATTTCAGCATCAGTCAATGTATTTTTTTCATCCATATAAGTAATATTCAATTGTTCGATACGAGCTAATATAGTTTTGACAAATTTATCTTCATGTTCATATTTCAAAATATCATGTAGAAGTGATGGTTCAATATCGAGTTCGAGACAAATTAAATTTGGAAATATTTGAATAAAACGACGAAAAATTTTATAATCATTAAATGGAAACCATAAAGATATGCAGAATTTTGTAACAGTTGGTAATTGTAAACTATTATCTAAAAGAAGATCTTCACTCATAATTGTAACATTTCTATCTTCTTCATTTTCATTTTCATCTAAAGAACTAATAATCCAATGTGTTAATTTAATCGTTGTTATATTTGGAAAAATTTTTTCAATAAATAGAAATGTTTCTAGATTTAATGGTGTTGTAGCAATGAGTGAGAGCGTACGAACACGTTTAAAACATATTGAAACTGATTGATTTGATACACAATTTGAAACGAAATCATTTGAAAAATATTCAAACTAAAAATCAAGAAGCAAGAACAATATGTATGTATTAATTATACTAATCAATAAATAGATTAATCTTTTACTTTATCAGATTTGTATGGTAATGTAAAAAGCGTATGTTGTTGAGCACGAACATCATTCCAATATACAATTGGATTAAAGTTTTGCCAAGTGAAACTTTGAAATGTTTCGATTTCTATTGGATCATTATCCACTAATGATGAAAAAATAATTAGATCAAGTGATGATAAACGAGGCATTTTGTCAAGTATTCCATGTTCAAGTCGTTTACCATCGAATAAATGATATTGAGAATCAATATTTAGTGAAAGATATTCAATTGTTGATCCAAATGTATCAAAGAAACTTTCCAAATGATCAAAATATTTGATCCAACCTGTAAAAGTAACAGAATGAAGTTTATTACATGGTTTTACACCATTTGTATTGGGTGCTGTTTGAACAATACATTCTTGACTTTGAATTTTTACCTAGAAATAAAGATTATTCAAAATTGAAATGAAAAGAATATTAATTTAATCTAACTTTCAATTTTTGAAGATTGGGTAAATGTTGAATAAGTATAAATAATGGATTCATTCCTTCTAATTCAATTGAAAGACGTGTTAATCGAGTACAAATTTCAATATCATCATTAAAAAAATATAGAGTACAATCTTTTATGATAAGATGTTTCAATTGAGAATCAGATCGAAACAATAGATCGGGTAGATCACTAGATTCATTGTCATTAGGCTGTACAAGTGATAACTTTTGTAAATTTTGACGAAGATAAATCATGGTTTTTTTTGAAAAATCAGTTAGAACATCCCAGTTAATCACTTCCATAGATTGAATATTAATTGATAATAAATGTTCTGGTATCATAACCAAATGATTCATTTGTAGACGAAGAGCAATAATTTTATATTTAGTCAAGACATTTGATAAATAATTTTCAATCCATTCATCGGATTCTTGTGAAACATCTAATCGTGAAATAAATGGTTGAATGAGAGTTTGAAGTCGATATGATTTAAAATCGGAAAATATTTTTAAAAGATCAATTGCGCTTAAATATTGAAAAATACATAAAAAAAGTTCATTTGGTAAGTCAAACAGTAATGTTTTCGATGCCATTGAAAAAATAAGACTATTTTTATTTCACAGAGTAATGAAATATTGATGATTACTTTTATTTCATTCTATCACATCATATATTGAAAAACAGTCAGAACACAAAAATCAACATGTATAATATTGCAATACCGTCAAACTATTCGAGGACAATGCAGATGCCATTGGAAACACAACAACAACAACAACAATAAAAATCAGCCAATAAGGATAAAATAGCAACTCTTTTAACGTTAAATCATTGTTAGATATTCTTCGGTTAAGAAAGTTGTCTATTAAGCGTTCTTCCAGTCAACAAAATCGATTTTGAGATTTTTATGTGATTGGATAGCCTTCATTGTCTACTTTCAAAAAGAGTAGGATTTATCGGAATCCGAATGTTCTTTTACGATTTTATACAGGATTGACCGATAATGCTGGAATAAAAAAAAATGTTTTTTTTAATGAAATGTTAGTTATTGTTGCCTTTTGAACTTTTTCTGAGGTTTCACATAGTGAAGAATCTAGCAGATATATGTGAAATAATAAGGAAGCATTGCAAGCCTTCGAACAAGTAGATTTGCATCCTGCATTTCTTTTTTCTATCAGTGTTCATTTAATTATGTAATTGCTGTGATAGTGCTATGTCAGAAGAGACATCTTATAACATAGGTATGGGTTCTCTTCTTTTTCTTTGGCTTCATTATTTGACGTTCATAATCATTCCTTTCTTCTTCTCATGTTTTGTTTATTTAAGCAACTGGTATTGTTGGTATGAATGTGGACAAGCAAAGCTGCTTGTAGATGGGTGATATAAATAACCACGCCTACATCTCATATGTTTTTCTATGCTAGATTCAGATTTTTAGATGCTCTGCAAATATGTGCAAGCCTTTGTTTGATTCTCTATAATTGACAACATATAGTAGACTACAATCGATGTGTTTTCTCTACTGTTTTACTAAACAGAAACATTGATTTTCAATTACAAAGTTTGTTCAGCATTTTTCTCAAAACAAGTTTTTTTTCTACTTGTACGTCCCAGTTTTCTCAGCCATTTTACATGCTAGGAAGTTCAGAAAGGTTTTAAATTGAAGAGAAAATTGTGCCTCATAACTTAATAGAGCTGGATTTTTTATTTTTGACTTCATTCTTGAGAAAAATAGATCTTTTTTGACAGGAGTATTCCTGTATTTTCGAGCTGTTCGAAATAAACTGACACCAAAAATTGATAAAGAAGAATTTGAAAAATCGGGCTCTGCTAAGTTATAGCAGCAAGTGTTTGCTATACTTTGACGTCAACTCGAGATCTGTATCATTAGATTTGGGGAAGAAATCTAGGATACGCGGAGATCTAATTTTTGATCCTTAACATAAGGATAACCGTTGAACAACTGAATATTTTGGGATGAAATTTTTATTTTAAGCTTCCTAGGTCTAAACCTACATTCTCTGAAATTTTCAGTTAGATTGGTTGTTCAGGAACGAAAATAGATTTTTGACAAGTGGCTTAAGAACATTCATAAAAGACAATAACAAATACAATAAATTTTGCTTCTGCATTAATTTTAAAAAATTTCGCTTTCATTGAACTAGGTGTCAAGCATTTGTATCATCAATCATTTGAAAATAACTTTATTTCATGTCGTTTTTTTTTTCTTAAAATGAACATTTTTTGATGATGTAAGCAACTATCTATGTAATATAGTAACCATTAGAAACATTTCAATAAATAATTATATATGGTTACTAATGTCCATTTTTCAATAACTCTTAGAATTTGATGATTTGAATTGAATTGTCTTTGTTAAATTTAATAGAAAAACAGAATCCTAACTCACTAAAGATGATCAGCATTATATATTCCATTGCATAGGATATCTTAAGTAATCATTTATTTCGGCTTTGAATAATTATCATTGTCATTAGCATAATAAACATGATTCAGCAATATTTCGATAAAAAAAATTTAAACGAAGGACTATTTTCACAGTACTCGGATCTTCTATAATGATTTTCACATTGTGTGATTTGTCTATGTAGAGATATATGCAAAATATTCAATGTTACAATTATTTTGCCTCACCCGATATATGTATATATATATATGTATCTTTATTTTAAAATAGAAAAATTTTTTAACTATAAACTAACATTTCATTAATAAAATTTTTAATTACATTATCATTGATGTACAAAAATTTACTAAAGATCATCATAATCAAAAAGTATTTGAGCATTTGGAAAGAGAATATGCAATTCTTCATTGCTTAAAAGATTTTTTCCATCATAAAAACGAATTCTTTGTAAAAGTTTAATACGATTTAATGCACATCGAATAAAATTATCTTCATGTTCATATATTAATATTTCATGAAATAATGATCGTCCAATAAACATTTGTAAATAAACTAAACTAGGTAAAAGATAAAGAAAACGACGAAAAATTTTATAATCATCATATTGTGATCGTAAAAGAAAACAAAATTTAGTAATTGAAGGTAATTGTAAACTATTATTTAAAAGAAAAATATCACTTATATGAGAAATATTTCTATTTCGTTTACGTTCATGTTGAAATCTTGATGATTTTAATGGATTTGTTAATTCAAGTGTTTTAATATTTGGAAATCCTTTTTCAATGAATTCGAATATTTCTAATGTTAATGGTGTTGTAGAGATCAATGAAAGTATACGGACATGTTCAAAACAAAGAGAAACTACTCGATTTGATACACAAGATGAAATAAAATCATTTGAAAGATGTTTGAACTAAAAAATAAAATAAAGAAAAAAGCTTGTCAACGTAATTCATTTGAAACCAAAATGTGGAACTCACATGTGTTTCTTTAGCTTGATTACACTAATACAAAATACGTTAAATGAAAAATCTTTAGCAGACGATAGTTATTTCCCAAGGAATTTAATATTACTATTATTCTAGGCATTGATTCAACTGACAAATAAACCTGTTGTATAGAATCATTATATCAACTTTAGTAGTTTTATACTTTTTACATCGATTATATGACGATTGTAGCAAATCAATACATCACTATTTATCATCGTCGATATCTTGAATATAAATTTTTATCTGCACTATTTAGAACATTCACAAACGTATTCTAGCCATTCGAATTTCAAGGAAAACTTTGGAATATTCTAGAACAGTATAATGAGAGAATTTTTTCAACTGTCCCATTTCGACCTCAATAATTTTTTGCCTGTAGATGCTGCAAAGTATTCTAACAAGAATTCCAAAAAAATTTGGGTTCCTATTGAGATTTGACTAAGCTATCGAATTTTTAATATTTCTATTTTCTGGACGACAGGTTTTCTGAAAACTTGAAGCTTCTAGAAAAAAACTCGATAACTTAGTCAAATCTCAATAGGAATCCAAATTCTACTAGGGTTTTTATTAGAACACTATATAGTACCTATCGACAAAAAAATCATTGAAATCAGAAGGGAGCAGTTAAAAAGATTCTCTCGTAAGTCTTGTTGTTAATTCCATTCAGAGTTTTTTTCTGTTGCTAAGGAAGTACGGGAAAGGATTATGACTTCTGTCGTCCTCGGTTGCTATGAGGAGAAGCCGCGAAACATTGACGTTAAACTTATACTCATTGTATTTTTCTTTAAAAAACATAATGTGAGTTCCACAAAAAGAAAAAATGGTAATGATGAAAAGTTTGTTTCGATTAAAATAATCTCTTACTCGATTCGATCTATATGGTAATGTGAAAATTGTATGTTGATGAGCGTGAATATCATTCCAATATACAATAGGATTAAAATTTTGCCAAGATGAATTTTGAAATGTTTCAATTTCTATTGGATCCCAATGAGGTATAATTGAGTGAATGATTAAATTTAATGATAATAAACATGGCATTTTACTCAATAGTTCTTGTTCGAGTCGTTTGCCATCGACTATATTATACATTAAATCAATATTGATAGTTAAATATTTAATTGTTGATCCAAATGTAGTAAAAAAATGTTCGAAATATTCGAAATATTTTGTACAACCTGTAAAAGTAACACGATGTAATGTTTTACATAATGTTACATTTTCAACATATAATGTTGGTTGAATCATACGTTCTTCAATTCGAAATTTAACCTATAAATGAAACAATAAATTAATTAGACAAAAAGAAAAAGAAAAAGAAAATTTCAGTTAACCTTTAATTGTTCAAGATTAGGTAAATGTTTAATAAGTATGAATACTCTATACATTCCTTCAAGTCCAATTGAAAGATATGTTAATCGAGTACAAGTATTAATATCATTATTATCAAAAAATAGAAAACGACCAGTAATATTAAGATGTTCAAGTTGACAATCACATTGAAATAAATGACTAGCTATATCTCCTTTTCCATGTGGATATGTAAATGTAATAGAAAGTTGTTTTAAACATTGACGAAAATGATTAAGTCCTTCTTTTAATAAATCCGTATTCCAATCTGAACTAAATAGATGTATAGATTGAATTTTATTTAATAGGAAATTTTTTAAAATTAAATTAATATGTTTATCTTGTAAACGAAGAGCAATAATATTATATTGATTGAATAATATTGGTAAATAAGTTTGAATCCATTGATCAGTTTCTTGAGAAATATCAAGATGTGAAAGAAAAGATTGAATGAGTGTTTGAATTCGAAGAGATTCTACATTGAAAAATGTTTTTATTAAATTTGTCGAATTTAAATATTGAAAAATAAATGGAAATAGCTCATTAGGTAAATCAAGAAACTGTGCTTTTGTCATTATCTAAAACAAAAATGTTTCATCATATTGAACAATAATTGCTTTCAAAAAAAAATGACAATACATCTAATTTGGTACTTCATTATGATGATATTATTTAATAATATATTACTTTTGCATATAAATTTTATATAGTTTAGTTATGCTATTACTTGTAAATTTCCTCAAATAGGATCATGAGTGTTAATATAGAAAAATAATGCTGTTTGATAAATCTTTGTTAAATAAAAACTTCATTAGATTAAGTAGATTCGGTTTTTTTTTTGTGCTTATCAACTAAAAAGCCAATAATCGATGCCTTCACGTAGATTCATTGAAGAAAGATTTGTTTCAAAATCATTATTTGTTAAACCCTGTAAAGAGATAATAAAAATAAATAAATCTATTAGAAAATATTCTCGTAATCAAATTTACAAGTTTAACACAAATTATAATTGGAGGAATGGCTTGTGTAAAATGAATAACTGGTATACGACGTTTATCCTATTAAAAAAAAACAAAAGATGATTATGTCATTTGAAGATGATAAAATAATCAATATATTTACTTGAGATAATTCATCAGTATAAAATCCTTTTGAAATTTTTTTTGGATCCATATCACAAAAACAAATAACCTAGAAAAATTCTTTCTTTTAAAAATAATAATTATTCTTAATTAACCTTGTGTTTATTTATATCATTTAATGATCGATAAAATTTTCTTCCCTATAAAATATCAATATTTTTAAAAATTAATATTTAAACAAAATAAAAAAAGAAACAAGTTTTACTTGTTTTCCTGCATTCCAAATAGTCAATTTTTCCAGATTATTAATAATATTTAATTGAATTTCTTGTATTCGTACTGACCATATAACATCTCTTTAATTGGAAAAAACTGTTAGCATAACCCGTGCGGGTTTAAAATGTGAAACACGATGTAGTTGCTATTGTTAATCACATGGTGATTATTTTATTCTATCTATTTTGGGACACATATCTTCACTATCCTTTTACTTAATCTTCCACAAATGCAATAAGGAAGTATTTCATATTTTAGACTGAGAAGTTATTCATATACAGTTTGTAATTGTATATCAACAACGTCTATCACGCGGAGGAAGGAAAGTGTTACTAAGACGTTTGTGGGGGTAGAGCCCGACTGAGTCCAAGTCCGAAAATATTGGATCCGATGAACTCTAATGCGAGAGGATGGTTCAAATTTTTACTTCAATACTTTAACATCCATTTTAGATCGTGTTTCACAAAGTTTCCTTTCCAATCATATATAGAATTTGTTATTTACTCATGTACGGAAAACGTTGTTGCTTCTGAATGATATCGATAATAAAGAAGAATTTCATTCACTCGATATAATCGACCACCTATAGAAAAAAAAAAGAAAATTTTTTTTTAAGATCAAGATTTTTCAATTAAAATATTGTACCATTACGAAGATGTTTAAAAAAGAATGTTAAATCTTCACAATGACCCTATTAAAAAGAAATATCAAATATCATCAATCATGAAATATATATATATATATATAATAATATTGACTTTAGCAATTTCATCAAAACCACCTAGTCGATCAAACCAAGATCTTGAACAAAACCAAGTTGGCATAATAAGAGTTGGTCCATGTGCCAAATATATCTAATACAAGTAATAAATATTTATGAAATTTTGAATAAAAAGTCTTATCTAATAACAGAATATCTTCTTTTTTTTTCAATCTTCGTTATCTTAAATACTATCATAAAAAATGTCATGTTTACTTGTGTATAAAGTTGTTCTTCTGTCAAATTATTAGCCCATTGTGTATATCGATCGGTTGATCCTTCTGGAATTCGTTCATATTTTGAACCGACTAAGAATAATAATCATATAATAAAATTTCATTAATAATAAATATACTCAATATTGCATCATCTTTTTCATTGATAGCTACATGATATTGTCTATGAATTCGATTTGGACACATAAGATCATCCTAAATAAATATTCTATTCGAAAATAAAACAAAAAATCGAAGAATCTTCTTTTCCTACAGCATCTTGAAAACATAAAAATCGACCAGATGAATATTGAACTGCTCGATTTTTCCCGTAACCCACTAAAATAAAAAAATCAATTCCCAAACACCTCTATCTAGTATTTCTCACCACCACGAGCTTCTTCATTTTCATATCCATGAACAATTAATTTATATTTCAATTCTAATTGTTTTCTCCATTGTTCAATTATATTTAAAGTTTCATCCTAACAATAACAAAGACAAAAAACAATCAAGCCTCAATAACTCTCAATGAAGAACCACTTGCTGAACTGCCATCATTATAAATAGATAATTCAATATTAATATTCTCAATGATTTGTTTCATTAAACTTTCAAATGTTTCATTTAACCATTGAGCAGCATTTCTTACTGGCATTATAATTGACTATCGATACAACAAAAATTTCTAGTTATTTTTTTTTGTTTTCTTTGTTCTCATTAACATACCACATCAATCGACATTATTATTTTTTTTTCTTCTCCAATATCTGTAAAAAAAAAGAAACACATACAAATACAGTTTGTTTGTTGTTTTTTTCGTATTCATCTTTTCATTAAATTTAAATCCATCGTACATCACAGATATAACACACAGACGAAAAAAGAAAACAAAAAGTCGAAATTATGAATAAAGAGATGACACCGATGTTTGAAGAATATAATCGAATAATGATAATTTTTTATACAAAGTTGAATATTGTTGAAGATAATTACATAAATCTTTTACAGTGGCTTTTTCATTTAATAGATATTCATATACTTTATAGAATGACATCACTAAATCTTGATCACGAAATGTTAAATAAGCAAGTGAACGTCCAGTTTGTGAAGCAGCAGTTAATTGTATTATTGCTAAAAAAAAATAAAACAAAAGAATCGAATAGTTTATATTTAAAAACAAAAAATTCGTCACCTAACTAATTTCTAAAGAGATATGTTATTAATTGAATGATTATCTTATATTTAATTTATTAAAAGAAATATGAACAATAGTATAGAAGAATATAATATGAAAAAAATAAAGTGATAATTTAATACTATACTTTATTATCATACATTCTCAACATTTGATAACAAGTTCTATACTAGTAAGATTATCATTTGTATATTCTTTAAGATGATATTTAAGCACTGAAAGGTGTGTGAGTCTTCTTGCACTTTCCACACTTTATGTGTTCGACAACTTGATTGCTTACGAAAAAAAAACCCAGGATTAATTTATATCACTGTCAATGAAAAAGTGTTGGTCTTTATTTCGATCCCACCAGGATCGGAACCATCTTACCCATATCTACCTACATTCAAAGCCTCCGAATATAAAAAATTTTAGTTTTGAAAAGAAATTCTAGTTCATATGCTGTATGCATCAGAGAAATATATAATCATTTATATTGATTCGCTAATTTTATATTGGTTTAGCTTATTCGTCTGAATTGAAGCATTTTAATATTATGGATGTCTATGATCCCATTCAGAGTGCTTCTCATTTACCTTTCAATTGTTTATTTCCATTAAATGCACCACAACCCCAATTACCCGTCGCAATACCTGATTTTTGGTCAGTTACTGCTGCTGGAATACGAAAACATGTATAAGCTTTCATTAATTCTCTTTTCATATTTTTTATTGTATATTGTGTTCCTCGATTATGAAAAGCAATAGCATCCATAGCAACAACATGACATAATTTTCGACCCCAAGAATCTCTAAAAACATTTATTCAATTTTAGTCGTACATTTAAAATCAATTCATTTTTACTTTGGAGTTTGATCGATATAATTTTCTTTAAATTGAAATGTTGTTGAATAACCTTGATACGATGAAAAACGTTCACAACCAATAAGAAAAATACATTCATTTGGTTGAATTACTTCACATAGAAGTAAACTAAGAAGCATTTCAGGACAAATAACAAAACGTATTTCTTCTTGAACACAACCATCACCCAACACACCTCCACCCTATGGAGAAAAAGGTATGATTTTTTTTCTTATCATCGAAAAATACAAGATTTCATTTGAATTATTTTTGTCAAATATAATAGTTATTCATTTATCTTTCAATAGACTTTATATTTACTTTGATCTTTTTTACGTGCTTATTATTTCTGTTCTCTCTTGTAAAAGATCAATTGTTATTTATTCTGCTTTGTCATGTATCAATATCTAACAAGAGAACCTCTACACGTGTTAAATCGTTTTTCAATCGAGTCAATATTTATTTGATAAGGAAACAAAATGGATTCATTTAAAACTAAATTAATCCATCTAAAAAATTGACCGTGCGTCGCCTATGGTATTTTACGAAAGTGTTGCAAAGTATCATATCCGAAAAAGTACACTATATCAGTATTTTATGGAAATTTATGTATTTTAAAATAAGATATTCATCGGATACGTAATAAGCTACTTGGTCGAAACATATTCAGTAAAAGGATACTTAAAATTGCTGTCTTTCTATTAAGCTGGATTTCGCACATAATATTCTGCAGTATCTATTAAATAAATTCTAGATCAGTTGATGATCAGATTATACTTTTGATGTCTGTTTTATCTTCTATCTCTTTAATATATTATTCTTCAAGATATCACTTGACTTAGTTTCTCTTTGAAGAAAAATAACTGGTTTCCTTAAAAAAAAATCGAAAACAGAACTTCACTTTTACATAATCAATCTGTTCCATTGAAGTAATAGAGCTGTTAGTTACCCACAACAGATAGTTTTCAGAGGGGAAAAACAGAACTCAAGAAAAATCACTCTATTGTCCCTCCAATCGTACGTACTGCTAGATTGCTTTGTTTGAAATCGAAAGTCGATTTTTCGACATGACCTTAGCTTGTTGTTGGAAAACTCAGTAAAATTTCGATCTCTTAAGAACAAAGATTCGCAAAACTAAACCATTCTAGACTTTTCTATTAATCATTAAATGAACATCGTCTCAGTCGAAAAATGATTTGATACGCGAAGAGGTTCTTTCGTAAGTCATTTCATTTTGAAATAAAATACAATTTTTAAAACTTTATTAAACTTTTTTTCACACATTAATGATTACTTACAATATATTTATTAGCAAAATCAACCTATAAAAACAAAGGATTTAATTAAAATTTAGAAATATAGATCATGATATTTACTTGTAAAAGACCAACTATATCTTCAATAGCTTTATTTTTTGTTATATGAATTTTACATAAAGGTTCGTTAGATTCTGACCATTTCGGTATACAACTATCTGGTAATTGATAACGTCGAAAAGAAATAACACCATTTGGCACTAAAATATAACAAAAAAATTAAAGATTTTCTAAAGAATAATATTTTATTTATTTACTCTTTTCAGTAATACGTTGAAAATAATGAAAAATACATTTAAGTTTTTCAATTTTCCATATAGATCCACCTGTTCTACCACCTTGAAATAATCTTTAATAAAATTAAAATAAAAAATAAAATAAGATTAAAAAACAAAAAAGTAATAAACTTTTTTTTACGTATTAAAATTTGGATTTTGATAATTCTCATATTCACTGCCTACTTTCTGATTAAAACGTCGAGGAAATAAACAAAAGAATGCACAAGCTAATAATGAAGCTGCTTGTTTTTGTGACATTGTTACTGTACGATTTGATCCAATACGTAATAATGGTGGTGGCTAAGAAACAATCAAATTCAATATTTTTTTTTTTTTTTAAATAATAGATTTATACTCGACTACAAATTTTATCAACATTTAATGCCAAACTACAAATATTCGATAAAACAGTTGACATAAAATGAGCACGTTCATCAGTTGAATAAATCTGTGATGATAATAATTATTATTAATAGAAAAAATTTTTATTTAAATAAACTATTTCAAAAAATTTACTTCATTAAGAAGTCGTTCAAGACAATTGAATTCATATTTACGTCCAGCACATTCTTCAATAGTTTCCTATATATAAATAATTTTAATTTATAAATAAAAAAAAAACCAAAAAGCTTTTAACTTTAATATCTTCCATTGTTGCCATATGTGTTTCTGATAAATGTTGAAGTTTTGTTAATGATCCTTGAATTGTTGGCCATCGTTGTGTACCATTTTTCTATAAAATAAGAAAAAAAAAATTTTTTCTGAAAAAGAATTTCTTCGTTGAAAATTTACAGTAATATAAAATTGTGAACAAGGCAAACGAACATTATCTTGATCCCATTCATCAACATATGTGCCATTCTCATATAATGGTTCAGGTTCACGTTTAAGATCATTTGAATCATATTTAAATGGCTAATTAATATCATATATTATTAATAATGAGTAATGGAAAAGTTCTACATTAATTTTATTTTTAATATATATTGACAACAAATCGTCGTGGAGATTTGATAGTTCTATGAGTGATGAAAAGTGTATTTGATCAAATTGTCTTGCATTTGGCTTTCGAAATTTTTAGGCATATTATGTGTGAGTGTAACTCATGTCACGCGAGCTTTCTAATGGTATCAAAATATTTCAGTTACAAAACTATAAGTTCAATAGGAAATCATTTTATTACAGATTTAACGACTTACTCTCAAGTTTCAGTAAGTTCGATTGCTGAAAAAAATCTTGTTGTTCGAAATCACTTATTAGTTGTGAACATTTTTCGCTTGTAAAAAGCGTTAGAAAATGTCGATTTCGAATTAGTGACGAGTAGGAGTAGACGTTTTTTGGTGCTGATCCCAATTAGAAAAAGCTTTTAGTTCAGGTTTCACGTTTAGTTAATACATTACTAGTGAATAAATGCGATATCATTTTCTCTCAGTGTCAATATACTCGAGACATTTTGTGCATGACCTTTCATTCTCTTCCTCTCGAAAATTCATCACTTTTGTTAATTCGCTAACACTTCGTCTATTCTGCATGTTTATGTCTTCAAAAACTCTGTTGTTCACGAAAAAAAACCTAGGATTAATTTTGCTATCAAAATTGTCTCAGCAAATATTGAAGTAATCGTTACTCAATAATTTTTGCATAAATTTTTCGAGCACATAAGTCATGAAAATATGATATTTGACGCAAGTCTTACGTATCCATAAAAAATATCACTGCTAATGAAAAAGTATTGGTTCTGGTCATGGTCAAAAAAAAAATAATTGGTTCCAAGTCCGGGACCATCTTGTCCTAATTTATTTTGAACTCAATTCATAACTTGAAAATATATTATCTCTCAGTAGATGGAAGTTTTCTTCGATGAAGAAAACTTTTTAACATTGAGTAAATATTTTTTACACAGCTTTGTAGTAGAAACTTTTCTCTTTCTAACAAGAAAACTATCAAGTCGTCGTTTGCTAGTTGCTGTCACATTATACCGAAAATAAAATTAATGCAGAACTTTTACACCACCATTCATTATACATACTTTTATTAGAAATGTATGATTACGATCACGAATATCTTTCATATCAGACATAGTTGGTGGTTGTTGACATATATTTGTAATTTCTGATAATGGTATACCCTAAAAGAAATTAGTTTATTAGATGTTTTTAAAAAAATCAAACTCAAAATATTACTTGGAATGTTCCATCATCTTCTTCATCTACTTTATCAATGTCAAAACCTAAAAAAAAAAAAGCAATAAAAGAAAAATATTAGTTTAACAAATAATGAAGATTTCTTGGAATAATTACTATCAGTTGTCTGTTGTGATGATGGTTCTTCTTGAGGACTTTCATTCTCATAATATTTTCCTTCAAGACTATCTTCATCATAACTAAAGAAACATAAAAAAAGAAACAAATATGATAGATAATGTGAATGAAAATTTTTTGATTAAATATTATTCATTTGTTATGAGATCAGCTTTTAGATAGAGAAATTCGCATCTATGTCAAAATGAAAGAACTATCTTGATAGGATAAAACAGTTATTAAATATAATTACCGCCATAATCACATGTATACTGAGAAAGTTTACCTCGATAATGTTATAATCTATTTTTATAGGATTCTATCGAAATACAGTTAGCTCTTCATTGTTGTCCATTTATGATAATAATATTACACATCCATAAAAGACTAAAGATTAGAGAATACAAAACACGAAATGTTAATGAAGTGCTACACGGAAAGCTGTCACTTAGAGTGTCTATTTGTACTCTAGGACAACACGAAGGCTCATGGAATATTAATCTAGTCAAAAAAAAGTACTCATACTAATCTCGAGTTTTGAGAAGTGAGATATAACAAATAACTTATTCAACTTCTTGCAAATATACGATCGCTGATGTATGTTTTTCTCTATTTTTTTGAGCTTTATATATAATGGTTTCTATTTGTATTTCAATAATTGGATTCAACTTTGAGATTTAATACTACTGATTTTTTTTCTAGAGTAATCATTGTATAAGAAAATATTTTTCAAAATCTGGACTATTTAATATATGAATTAAGTTTTAATATTTATTTTATTTCTTATTCACTTACTTATGCGATTGAGATGATGGTTCATCATTGGATGTATCTTGTAACAAAAATAAATAGATTATAATGATCTTCATCGAAAAAATGATGATATACTTTTATTAATATCGTCTGTATCTTCCTCGAAATCATCATCATATGATTGAGACATAGATCTTATATAAAGAATTTCGAAAATATTTAATTTGATATGATTATAATACATACTCATCATTTTTATCATTAGTATTTGTATCTGATTTATTTGTATTTTTTGTGCGTTTTCCAGTATTTTTCGTTTCAGTTTCAGCTAAAAACAATAAAATAAAATATTCTATAAATATTCATCTTTTAAATGAAAAATATCTGGTACTATTCGAAGAATTAACAAGTTCAATACATCTTTTTTTGCTGGTTGATGTATCAGTCATTATTTTTTCATTTTCATTATTTTTAATTGAGTTTTTTTCCACAGTAGTTATTGAATCGCTCATGGTTTCCAAAGATCTTTTTTTATGAATAGAAAAAAATTTTGTTTTTGTAGCTTGATTTTGATTGCTCTGTGATTATGCAATAACATTATATTTTGTCATATCTAGAGGGCAGTAGATGACTGATCAAATTTCTCAATGCAAATAAGATTAAAATCAAATTTCAATGAATGTTTGCATGTGAGTTACATAGATAAATATAATCAGAATTGATTTATGTAATAAGCATCGATTGTGAATCAATAATAGCAATTTTTAGGTATTGACAATTTACTAGTGACTAATGATCAATTCAGAGGTAGATTGGGCGAAGTGTAGGTGTGAGGCAAAGTTGCAACTAGCAACGGTAAACGAACGGGGTTCGATAGAGAATTTTTTATTAGCCTGTCCCGACTTTTTGGATATTTTTTTTTTTTCAAAATATTGATCATAAAAGTGCTCTTTTTTTCACAAATCAAACACTTTTTTACTGATGTCGAAAACTATTTCTATGTGGAAACATGCGCATCAGACTGTCCTATTAAATAAAAATTCATCATAGTGTACTTAATACATTCCATCCATTTCCTTTGATATCTAGTTATATTATTGAAACCAGAATGAGCGTGAATGTGCGTGCCGGTGTGAATCCTGTCTTCCAACACTCACACCATGATACTGTTTCGATTTTTTCTTTCATATGAGTGCTTTGAAATATATGGATGTATGTAGTCTACTTTTTACTTCTCTTTTTTATAAAGTTTGCTAGAATTTTGTTTTGGAAAAAGAATCATTTTACACTAAATAACTTTCTACGATTGTTCATACGAACTGGATTGTATATGTATATTGTTTTTATTATTTTTCTTTATCGAGACATACATTTAAAGATAATATATATAAATGAATAGAAACAGAATAAAATATTTCTTTAGTAGACAAGTATACCATAGATTTGTTCACAAAAAAGTTTTCCGATTTTTAACTCTTCCATCTGGCAATTCTGACTCATATCCACACCTAAAATTGATCATAGAAGTAGGTTTTCTTCGTGAATTAGAGCATTTTTATTGATGCTAGCGAGCTACTTCTATAAAGGACATGCATTAGAATATTTTTATTAAGTGAATATTCATCAAAATAGAGTATAGGTGGAGTGGTGCGTGTCTTTTCGTTGGTGACACCTAGACTAATACCCACATTCTTGCAGCATAGAGAAAACTATTCTAGAATTTTTTCGTATTACATCTAAAAAATTCTTCAATAGTCGTTTTTTTGATTTATTTAGTCGAAGACTAGCACTTTTTGGGATCAGCTCTTTTGAATTATATTCTGATTAATGATTTATAAGATAAATCGCTTAAAATCACAGAATATTTAACTATAATTTTTAGTTTCTGTAGAGGACAACTTTTTTCTTGTAGGTCCAGGTCCCGCATATCTCTAGTACTCACAATTTACTAGTATCCAAGACATGAGTTAAACTAAAATATTTTGCTTATATCGATGATTAATATATTAAACATTTTTATTCATCATTAAGATGAATGACTCTACTAAAACAAATCAATTTATCATAGTCCGTATCTTAACATATTATCTACAGATTAGAAATGCAAAAATTTTATTTGTATAGATATAAAAAATGTTATCTGACAAGAATAAGAAACTGTAATCGTAGAGTTTTTATGAAATAAACGATTGATTGAGCATATCATCATGCATTTGACGCCATATATTCCATAATTCAATTAATGCCGGATTAGATAATTGATTAGATTTCGTAATATGAAATGGTTTATACGCTGTATAATGAATTATTTTCATACGATCTCGTAATCGTATATAAATATCATGATGATAAATAGCAAGAACATTATTAAAATTATAGATCAATGGCAAACGTCCGGTACTAAAAAAAATAACAAAGAATAAAATGGAAGAAAATTGAATTCAGAATTAGTTTTTTTTTTTAATTTGAAACTTAACTCTATAGCACTTAATCAATCTCTTGTTTCTTTTATTGGCTTTTGATCATCGATATTAGATGATATACAACTGATGCTATAGTAACTATGTCTGTAAGAAAAAAAATTTTCATATCACATATTTTGATTTGGATTCCACAAGAATATTATTTTAATTTTTCTCAACAAATATTTTCATTTCTAAGACATAATCAATAAACTTAGTATAAAACTAATATTTACCTTCCTTTAAAATACCAATTAAGAAATCCTTGTTCTGCCCAATAAGAACCATAAGCAGCCATATTATGTATTTTTATAAGCATATCATTAAAAATAGTCATATTTGGACGAATAAGAAGTACACCTGCATTAAAATTAGGTCCTATTTCTCCTTGCCAAACATCTTCTACTGCACCTAATAATCCATCCTGATTATCTTCAAAAATAGTTCCAGTCAATAATTCATTGATATCATGTATAACAAGTGTATCAGCATCAAGATATAATATCCGATCATAACCAATCATAGACCATATATGTAATTTTGTATATTGATCATGAAAACGTTGATAAATAATAGCAAATCGTGGTGGATTAATACGTTCAACAGACCATAAATACCAACCAGCTTTACGACATCGATTCAATGTTAATTGATTTAATCGATTTGAAATATAGAAAAGAATTAGATCAGCTTGAATATTTATTCGTCGAAGACTATAACCAAGAACTTCGATACCTTCAATATAATCATCGTTATAAATAGCTGATACAACAGCTAAACGAACAATACGAGTAGTTTTTATATTTATTGTACGATTAGTAAATGGAAATTGCTGTTGAGATAATGTTTGATTTATTAATGAATGTTGAATAGTTAAATTATTTGTAATGAAAGATTTGATAAACGTTCGAGTAGATATAGAAGTTGAAGTCCAATTAAATAGAAAGAAAAAACTACCTGATAGAATTATAATTATTATATAACGAAAACGATACGATAATAAAAATAGGCAGCTTCGAACTGACATTATTATTTGCCTATCTATTTAATATTTAGTGTAAAATTTTAATATGAAAAACAAATTAAAATAAGTCTATATTGACTTATCATAGATGTTGTTTCATCTATCCATCAGAAATAAAACGTATAAATTTATTTAAGACATATGAAGAAAACAACATTTCGATTCCTTTCCATTACCATTTTTACGTATATTCTTTTTTTTCTTTCTCCATGATTTATAAAATTAATTGTAGTGCGCTTGGTTTTTCTTGATGGGAACTGACAAAATGCGTTATTATATTTAAAACAAAAGAAGCACTGATGTACAATCGAATGAGCATTCATTATCATCACGCTTTTGTTGTACTAAAGTTAAGTGTACTTTTCATTTCAATATCTCTTCTGTCATATTGAATATAATCAATGCAAACAAAGAAAACAATTAAATCTGGAAATGAGATTCTTTTTTTATCGGAAGTCACTTCAAAATAAGATCATCGAGTATATTTATATTTTTGTTATACCTTCCATAGTGTAATATTCTATGAATCTATCAAGATTAACAAAAAAATTGAATGCTTGGATTAAAATGTCAAAAATATCATATAGCAATTATCTTGTTTCTTGTGTATAAAATCAAAAATTCAATACAAATATGTTTCTTTTACAATGATCTATATTTTGATGATACTTTTGAAAGAATATAAAATTTATCATATTTTGAAAAGTAAAATTGAAATATAACAAAATACAAGTACGTATGTGAATGTGTGACTATAAAAACAAACATGATCATATAGGATCTCCTTCATTCTAATGAAAATGCTTTTATTCATTTTTATTATCATGGCATTTAAAGATGAATCGCATGACTTTCATAGAAAAAAAAAATATCGAAATGTTATGTATGTATCTGTAGGTCATCCATTCATAATACTGCGCGAATAATTCGCAAATCACATCTATATATGAAATTTATATATGTCATTACAACTTCGACAAATAAAATCTGTTGAAGATACTTCAATTGAACTAAATATCAACTAATTAATGATATAAAAAGCCATATATATATATATACAAAATTTTAGTTAATTTTTCATTTTAAATAACATTTATATCATTTTTTACGAATAAACATAGAAGAACTTATTTATTAAGAAAAATCAAATATTACTTTTTGTTCGTATTTTTTGTATTATAATAGATCTATTATGATCACACTAAGGTGTATAATAAACGAAAGTGATCTTTAGAATACTATGCTTTGAGTTAAACAGTATTTTAACTTTATAATTATAAGAAAAATAGTACATATACAAACAACTGCAACGCTTACCAAAGTCAGACTCATATTAAGTATTCCTCCTCTTTTTCATATGCTGTAAGATAAAAGTTTTTTCCTTTTGTGCCCGTCGTTACGGTGGTTTACACACACATGCAGCGCAACATCGTGACAAACTGCATGGATGACATCCTTGTTTGAACGACTTTTTCGCTAGAGTTCTAACAGACGCTGACACATGTGTGGATACGTGACTTATTAAAATTTAATTAGTAATCTACTAATTGACTCGATATATAGCAATGTCTGGTAAAGACTCGAGATTAAGTGAAATCTCTCATCTGAAAAAAGTAATTGTGACAAATCGGTGTGATATGGAATTAACATTCTTAAAAACAGCTAAATCATAATCATTTACCAACGACATTCTCAAATAGAAGAAAGCTCATTTTAAACTTCTCCTACCAGAAGAAACTGAGAACAGTGTTTTATTCGAAAGACAATCCCCCCTCCCTCGAACACTTTCTAAACCCATCCCTATTTCATCAGAAATATCGAAAAATCTGCCAACACCTCCTAATGTACACATAACAAATAGTCATACTCTAATTTCAGTCAAACACTCAAAAAAGCTTGAACCTAGAAAAAATTCCAAAAGTCAAAAAAAAGAGAAAATCGGAAAATATTCATAAAAAATTAAAAAATCTCAATTTTTACTGCCATATCAGAAGATTTGACGTCTTTGAATCGCTTTGATAATGAAAAATATACCGAATTTTCTATTACTTGTAAACATTATGGGTGAATTAAGTTAGAGCAAATGATGTGTTCCATGCTTGAGTGGTGATAGTAAATATCCAAAGAAATCTGAAGCAGATGCTACTCCAGCATTTACCGTGATGATAAATGTTCTTACCTACAACATGCGCAATCAAGTATGGTAACGAGTTGTAGGACTTAAATTTGAGGAAATTACAAGACTTCGCAGTGATGTATGTAGAATATTGAAAAAGGGTCGATCATGATCAAAAAAACGTGTTTTGAAGTTCACTAACAGTGATATCGACTCAGTTTTTGAATATTTTCTGCTCAGAAAAAAACAAAAAATATTGACTTATATTTAATTGAGCAATAAAATAATTTACATGAGCAATAATGAAATTTAGCAATAAAAAACATTAAATGAGCAGTAATGAAATTTAGCAATAATTATATGGAATGAGCGATAATTTATTTAAGTTAAAGGTAAATTTTATATAAAAAGAGTGTTATAGTGTGACTCGCTTATATATGTTTTGTTTTCCTTCTTCTCTTCTACGATATCGTGCAGATAACCAGTATGACACATATATGTCGGAGTTGACTTTAAAATATTTCAAAATCAACTAATTACCTTTTGAATTCAACTAGTCGCCTTTAAAAGGAGACCGAATTTTAAAATACAACTCCGATATATGCATATATCTTTTGTTTTCTTTCTCTCTTCTTTCCTTTTCCTCACTTGAATATTTCTCTTCTCTTGATGTTGTTTAGGTATATGTCCTTCTTCGTCATATTTTCTTTCTAGGGTGTTTGGTTTTTTCGTAGTTCATCAAATACGTATTCTTTCAATTTTACAAAATAAAATATAAAAAGAAAAAGAGGCAAACCATCTAAAGCAAAAAAAAGGTTTATTCACATAATAATATACTGTTTCTTCATTTTTCTTTTTTTTTTCAATTGTAAATAATTTTTTTATTTCTTTAATTCATAGAAAATAATGTAGTTTTTCTTTGTTTTATTGCTAAAGTATGAAATTATTACTGCTACTTAATGAATTAATTATTGTATATTTAAGAATATAAAATTATTCAAATAAAGTTTTTTTATTGCTCAAATATTTACTAGGCAATAAATTATATACAATTCGAAAGAGGAGAAAAAGCTTTATGGTTTGATAAAGAAAGTTCTCTTTTAGCATCGTTTTATCGAAGAGAAATAGGAATCGACATTTTGCGCCATTATTTTTGCATCGGATGTCATTTTTCGTTATTTCTCGCCGTATATTAATGATGAAATAATTGACTCATTTACTAGAGCACAAAAGAAGAAACATGAAGTATGGCAAATCATTCATCAATGAAATACAACGTTATGTATGACAGACTTATTTAAATAAATGGTCTAAAAACAAATCCAAAGGTAGTGAATTTAATCTTTTATTTTTTTACTTTATAATGTAAATTCTTTAAACAGTCGTATTGTCAATATCGATGCTATTATTACAAACTACGCTTCTCCGATTGGTATTGTAAGTGAAATTAATGAAGTCGTAATAAATAAGACATCAGATTTTCGAAATTATCAGCTTATAGTCGAAGAATGAACAAACTCATTTGGGGAAGTTGCTATCTTAATTCAGCAATCGATTAAATTTAAAGAATTAACAAGAGATAAGAACTTCCTCTTAATAGAAATTGAAATTAGTCCTGATCCAACTCTGATTAGTGTTGTTTATGTTTCTCCCGAATCGACTCTTCCTTTTCATATTTTCATAAAATGTATAAATAAGCCGTTTTTTATATTCGATGATTTTAATGCAAAACACATTGACTGGGGATGTGAAGGAAACAATGGGAGTGGTAATCAACTTGCTTCATGGTTAGAACAAATAGGAAATGAAATGATAGTACCTGATAAATCAACTTCCTGTAGATTCAACGCTATAATTGATTTTGGAGTAATACATAATGTCAATGGCTGAAACACAAAAGTAATGGAAGAAGGAATATACAATCACTTTCCAATCCTAATGCAGTTTCCTCTATCTGTCTTTAAATCGATAGTTTTCAGATCAATAAATTGAAATATGTTTACTTTTTTTCTTCCACATCTTATCTATCAGTATTTTTCTTCTCCAGTTCGTGGTCTAACAGTTGATTCCGAAAAAATAAAAGATCCTACAGCTATTGTTGATATTTTAGCTAATAATCATGAGAAATATTTTGCTGAAACAACTTCAGATGAGAACAATGTCGTGCAACAAAGGTGTGTTTCTGTTTATGAAAATATTGTCTCTTTCTTCAATATGTCCTTCGAGACAATTTCAATAAATGAAGTAATCAATGAAAGGAGAAAATTCTCTCGAAAGTCGACAGATAGTTTTGATGCCTCAGTTTTTCTTTTGGAAAAGCTACCTGAGGTTTATATGAATATATTAACTGTACTTTTCAATAAACATTCCGATGAGACTGATTTTTTTTCTACCGTAAAACATGCTAAAATAGTATATATTCCTGACGAGGGTATATAGCTTGCTGCTAATCAACTAAGACCCATATCATTACTCGCCAATATTGAGAAATATTTTGAACGCATTGTTCATAATCGTTTACTATTGTGGTGTAAAACTAACAATATATTTTCGGATGAACAGTCTCGATTTTCTCCTGGTAAAAGATTATAAACTCGAATTATGTCATTGATTGAAGACATAAGATTGATAGTTGCTGCTAATAATAGACCAGCATCGATTATATTTGCTGATTTTCTTTCAACATTTGATCATATGTGGACTCTTGCTCTTATTAGAAATCCTCTTCTAAAAGGGATATTTAATTGATTAAAAGATCGAGCCTTCTGTGCATCCCATGGAGACGAACGATTCCGAATAGTTCAAATGAAGATAGGAGCTTCGCAAGGCTCAGTATTATCAGCAACACTATTTTGTTTGCATATTCACTTTCTTCCATCATACTGCA